GAGAGACTGAATTTGATGCTGCATTTGAATCCTTTGATTCCTTTCTTAAGTGGTTAGTCTAATCAAATTACCTGATTTAAAGACTTCCAATTTTCCCATGTTTGTCAGCTTCATGTGTATCATAATGTCAACACTAGGCTCACTATCCTGGCACCAAGGTTCGGGATGCACCACCACCTGGAGCATTTGAGCTTTTGCGCAAAAGCTCAAATATATTTTTTATAAAAATAAGGGAAATTCATATATTTTTTATATATCAATCCTAAAATATAGGCACGCCAATAAAATAATCAATTAAATTTTTTAGTTAAAAATATATTGGATAGAAAAAATATTATAACACATATATTTTTTAATTATTATAACACCCTATAATTCATTTTAACACTATAATTTATTTAACACATGTTAGGGTGTCAAACAAGCCGAGCCGAGCCGAGCTTTTTCTTATAGAGCCGGGCTCGGGCTCGACTCGTTAAGATATCATCTAGGCTCGGGCTCGGGCTCGGGCTCGAATTAAAAGAAATAAATATTATTTGGAGACATAGGGGATCGAACCCGTGACCTCTCACATACTTAACAAACGTTTTACCATCTGTGCTACACCTTCATTCTCTCTAAATTTAATATTTTTTTAGTTTTTTATACTTCTTACCAAGCCCACCGAGCTTAACGAGCTTGAGCTTCAGGCTCGGGCTCGGCTCGTTGGGCTCGCGAGCCTAGGCTTAAACGAGCCGAGCCCGAGCCGAGCTCGCTGAGCCGGGCTTTATTTGACACCCTAACACATGTACACTTTATTTAATCCCATATTGATAGGATATAAAAAGTACAAAGAACACTATAATTTATTTAACACACGTACACTTTATTTAGTTCCACATTGATAGAATTCAAATAGTACAAAGAATACTCTATAACAATAATTTATTTAACACATGTATACTTTATTTAGTCCCACATTGATTGAATTTAAAAAGTACAAAGAATACTCTATAACAATAATTTATTTAACATAGCCTAAACCATTCCATCATCGCCAGGTCATTAGTCCCAAGCATTGACGCTAATGACCTGGAATGTTAGAGGGCTTAACTCCCCTCTAATCCAAAATGAAATAAAAATGTGATGCTTAAAAAGAACTTAGACATAGTAGCGCTACTAGAAACTAGAGTTAAAACCAAACAATTTCAAACAGTAAGAGACAATTTTTCGGAGGAGTGGGAGGTAATTTCAAACAACATCCCATAGGACCCTGAATAGGAGTGGGAGGTAATTTCTCGAAAGTATGCATAGAAGACCAATCTTAGGATATACTGTTAGAAGTTTACCCATATCATATATGGGTCTACTAATCACAGGAAAGAAAAAGTCATTTGAACAATGCTGGAAACTAATCCCATCAATAGAAGCGCTCTTAGCAAGATGGAGTGGAAAATGTTTTTCCTATGGAGGGAGAATACAACTAGTTAATTGGATAATAGCTGAAAAGTATACCTATTGGACTATCCCTGATCATGTGGCTAAGAAGGTGTGAAGGTTAGCATATAAATTTATATGGGATGGAAGGAAAGGGATTTCATGGGTACAAATGGTCCTTCCCAAGGCGGAAGGGGTTCTAAGGGTTAGAGATCTACCTATTATCACTACTGCAACTAATAGTAAAAGAGTCTTAAAGTATTGGGATAAGAGTGATTCTATTTTAATAAAATGGATTCAAGTAGATATATTAAGGAAAAAGCACTTAATGATATTCAAATCAGACCTACTGTGGATTCGCATTTCTGAAAAACTTTTATCTCAGAAAGAAATCTAGTGGATAAATGCTTGGATTGTAGGGCCAATAGTATGATTGTGTGGAGATCTGGTACTCCGATAAGCAATTTGGGGGGAATAGTGGAAAGTATTAGAAATAGAAAACATAAAGATATATTGGCTGAGGGAATTTGGTCGAAGATGTCGACAAAATTCTTTATTCTCTCGTGGAAGGTGAAATGGGATCACCTAAACACGTTCAAGAAGCTAAGAAGTTGGAGAGTACAAGTGTCTCCTGTTTGCTTGTTATGCAATCTGAAAGATGAAACTAGGAGTCATCTTTTCTTTAACTCTTCTTATTCCAGATTTCTTTTAATTCCGTTGGCGGAACACCTGAATTTCGTTTTCTGAAAAATAATGAATATTCCAGTTCCCACCTAATCCAGTCCAGATATTAGATTGGGGGATTTGACGGAGGCAGCACAAAAGATTACGCGTCACTCTCCCTCTTGAGGGCTAATATGGAATGCTATTGGGTGCTTGTCGTGGCATATACAGATGAAAAGAAATTAAAGATATAGACAACACATTAGTAAGCCTCCTGAGGTGGTCATTAAAGACATCATTCTCTCCTTTGATTTAGTGTATTACAAGAAGAGCTGTTGTCACCCTTTGAAGACATCTATGATAGAAGTATGGGAGACCAACTTCCTGAGGCAGCGTATCTAGTTACTATATAACTATACTACATAGCTAATGGGAGAGAGTCAATGAGTTTTTTGCTCATTTCTTTTTACTTCTGTTTCTATTTCTATAGTCTATTTTTTGTAAACTTGGCATTAGCCTTATTTTAATAAAATTTAATTGCTTCAAAAAAAAAGTACACATTTTAGGAAATGCATAAAGCACATTTCCCTCTGGAGGCGCAATGGCGCATCTGGTGCGAAAGAAACAAAACACACTTAGACCCCCAGAAACTGTCAGCAGGGAATACTGAGGGATGTAAGTACTGCATATGGTGCTAGTGTGCTACACCCTAAAAAAATATTTAATTTCTCAAAACAAAATGTCAACAGAATTTGGGCTGTGGGGCCGTTTATGTCTTCTAAAAAACCCTAAATGTAGACTTCAGCTTTCTGAAGTGGTATGTTATTTCATTCTCAGACTTCTGTCTGAATCACAAAACGTGAAAAAACCCAGGGAAGCTCTCGATTCCCCCTGTTTGGTCAAGAATCCAACCTCTTTCTCCGGCGACCATCCGGCCATCCTCCACTGACCTTGATTTGGAGAAGGTCAGAAGATTTGAAGAGACACAAATCTGCAAAGGAAAAAAAGAAGGTAGGTTTTATAGATTTCAAAGATTTCAATGGACCAAGGTGATGATTTGATTGATTTCGAAAACGACGTTGACAAGGAAATAGTAGAATGTTTGAGACACTCTTCTCTTCCGGTTTAATTGAACATGAATGAAGAAGACGTCGATACAAATGCAAATGAAGAAGTTGTCAATGAAGTGGAAAATACAAATGCGAATGTCGATCTTCATAGTCCTCTAGAAGAGATCGATATTAGTATCCATGACACTTCAATCGATGAAAAGTATTATTTGGATCTGAAGTGCAAACGACCTTCAAATTGGGGCGACCCTATTTGGATGTATGCTGCATACGTGGAAAAGCAACATTGCAAAAATCAATTCAATGCCTCGTATGTCGATTTGTTTCTACCGACGAAATCCACCGTGCGAAGGTTCACATCACCCGAGTGAATCCGAATGGTGGGAAATTAAGAGAACGATCGAGCCCGGAAGCTCCAATGAAGATTAGAGATGAGATCTTGAAGGTGTTGCAAAGCAAAATCATTGAGAAGGAACCAACGATCGTCGATATCAAGCTACTCCCGATGGATCCCATATAGAGAAAGATGGCATTGCTCTGATCATGGACTGCAATGAAGAAAAACATGGATTTTGGCGTGATTAAGAAAATTGGTCATTTGGGTTCCAAACTCTTCACGACATCATCAGGAAACGACAAACCGGCCCCCTCCGGCAAACCACTTTAGCCGATCATGTGAAGAAGCAAGAAAAGGAATTACTTCATTAATATGGAGGAAAATTCTTTTTTACAAGGTGTATTCAATGTTGCTCTCAATCCTGAATTATTGGTAATATTTTATTTTTTAAATATGAAATTTTAAAGTACTTACCAAGTTCATTTTCAGCCATAGTTGGAAGGTATTGATAGGATCGATCCTTAAATCAAACTGAGAAAACCGAGCAAAAATCAAGAACAAAACAGATTTACGTGGTTCGACAATGTGCCTACGTCCACAGGGTGTCTCATCGTCTTCTTTCTCTCTCGCAAAGAGTACAAGTAATTACAAGATACTTATATAAGAGATTAGGGTTGCCGTTTTGTGTTTGCAACCCTAATACCCATCACAAGGCTTAAAGCTCATTTAACAGAATTAAACCTATTTAATTCTAATGACTCATAAAAGTCCTACATTAATTATAATTATTCTAATTATAATTAATGCCCTTAATGAAAAACATTTCCACACTCTAACAGGTATTGGACGCTATGGTCTATGTTACATTCCTCTATCACTTGAACAAATTGCCGAAAATATACTTAAAAGAGAAGTCCACAACATTCAACAAATACGAAGGGATCATGAGAAGAAATGGGATGACCAGGGTTGTACACTGATGTTCGATGGATGGACTGATCGTAGCGGGAGATGTATCATATACTTCTTGCTAAATTATGAGGAAGGATCTTTTTACCTTCATTCCATTGATTGCACACCAGACATGAAGATGGGGGAGTTTATAGCCAAAGGATTAAAAAAAGTGATTGAGAAATATAGTAGCCACATGATAGTCCAAGAGTGCACTGTTAGGTCTTAGGTTGCCTGCGTTGGTGTTTGCTTTTTATGGTTGTCATATTGACTTTTCTGGATTTTTTCAAAGAGTGCCGGTCCCCTTTCTGGATTTTTTCCTTTTGTGTTCCGCTACATTTTGTTTGAAGTTTGAACTACCTTGGCGTCCAATGTACCCTCATCCCGATGCCTTGGTATTGAAGTCCCATGGTTTGTTTATTTTTGAAATAGTCTCATTTCTCCTAAAATGTTTTTAGAGCTCTGCATCCTTGTCCATGATTAGGGTGTCAAGTAAAGCTCGGCTCGTTAAGTCGACGGGCTCGGTAAAAGGAGTATAAAAAAATATTATATATAGAGAGAATGGGGCAGTAGCTCAGACGGTAGAGCGTTCGTTTGGTATACGAGAGGTTGTGGGATCGATACTCCACTTCTTCAAATTATTTATTTTAACCTGCAATTGCAGGTTAAGTTCGAGCTCGAGCTCGCGAGCTTTGAGCCCGAGCCTGGATAACTCCTTAACGAGCCGAGCCCGAGCCCGGCTCAATAAGCAAAAGCTCGGCTCGGCTCGTTTGACACCCTATCCATGATGCTCAGAGTTTGATTTTCGGTCATCTTCTTTCTCTCGGACAAAGACAAACTTTGAGCTTCCCAAGGACCTTACTCCCATGTAATTTGCTGCACTACTTTGAGGTGACAGGAGGGGGAAAATCCAGGTGCAATCTTTCCCGTCTTTTAAACTATTTAAATTGCGGTATTTCCCTTCTTTCTACGTGAAAATCCTCCCATCATCCCAACTCCTCATCAGTGTAGTCGTAGGGATGTTAAGGATTCCCACTTGCAGTAATTGTTACTGGCATTAATAGGAAATCTGGTAGTTGAAGCAGTGGGTACCCTTGTGGTTATTGTTATTCCAATTTTTTAATGTATTCTCAATATCCTATTCCATTTTTTTTACCATAATATAGATATACCACAATGCAAATTTTCTTCTTAATGCTTTCAAAAAAAAATCTTCTTAATTTTTATAATCTATCCTTTGCTAAACAGGGCTCCATCCTTGGTATCTTCTTTGAAGGATTTATCTCTTCACAATTCATTGCGCCAGCCTGCCTTTGATCTCATTCAGATTATTGTTGTTTCTGATTGTGCTGCTATGGTTTCCATACAAATAAATATTTCTTTACTTTCAAGTAATACTGATATGAAAATTATTTCCAACCTATACGATGATGAAGATGACGTACCTCTTTTTGACGAACTTGAGTTAAATGAGAATAGTTGTTGGAATGCTTTCTGTTCACAGAGCCGACTTGCAACTCAGGGACACAAAGAGTGGAGATGTATTCCCTTGTTATGGCATGATATTTTTATTGGGGTGGACCCCTCAATACTCCCAATATCATTTTGCAAAGCTGTTATTTGGGGTTTATCTCATTTTCCCTTACTTGATTCTGATACCAGTATAGAGAAAAATCTTTCTGTCACCAATTGGTTATCATCACATGCTAGCGAAATTTTACCATCGTTTGTTTGGGAGGTTCCTAATGGCTATGATGACAGTGCAGGTAGAAAAGAATCAAAAAATTCAGTTGATGGATCATTGATGTGTGTCCCTTTGATGAAGATATTTAAGAGGTCAGATGCATGATCACTATCTTTATAATATGATTTTTCTATCGATCTTTTAAGTTTTAACGGTTTTTCTTTAGAAAATTCTAAATCATTAATGTTTCAGGTTCGCAACACATTATATTACAATAATGGAGAAACATCAACTTCAAAGACAATGGACATGGGAACCAAGAATGGCTGAAAGTCTGATTCTTTTACTTATAAGTCCTACAGATGTAAGCAATTTTTTTGTAATTTGCTCTCATTTTTCTTACATATTTTTTAATCTGAAACATGTTTTGTAATCTTCCATATGTTTCAGATTCTAAGGCAAGCTAATAGGATCATTTTGGAACATGTTTCAAGGACAAGAGATCTGACCTCCGGACTTCAATTTTTATGCTCAAGTGCGACTTCTCTTTCTGCAATATTTATTGGCCTGAAATATGTTGCAAATCAGGTATCAATGAGCTATATATTACTTTATCAAGGTGGAGAACTCGGGATTTAGTTATTTTTTAGTCCCATATTTTTAAAAGCATTGGATGATAGGATCGATGCTTAAATCGAACTGAGAAAACTGAGGAAAAAACAAGAACAGAACAGATTTACGTGGTTCAGTAATGTGCCTACGTCCACGGTTGTCTCCTCTTCTTCTTTTTCTCTCACAAAGAGTACAAGTAATTACAAGATACTTATATGGGAGATTTGTTGTTTTGTGTTTGCAACCCTAATATTCATTACAAGGCTTAAAGCCCATTTAATAGAATTAAACCTATTTAATTCTAATGGCTCATAAAAGGCCTACATTAATTTTAATTATTCTAATTATAATTAATGCCTTTAATGCCCTTAATGAAAAACGTCTCCACACTCTAACATTGGAGTACTCAACGTGTGAACTAAAATGTTCAGGGCCAGTGCCATACTGCCATTTAAATATTAGCAGATGAGGGGAGATATTTTGCTTACTTCAAGGTCTGAATTTTTGGACCGAATTGATTGCCAGGTCGGTCCATATGGGAACCAAGCAGGATATCATGCTTTGGATGACCTCGCTAACTTCATGGTCCAGTGAGTGGAACTGAATCAAATGGCCAGGTCCGTTAAAGACGGTTAAGACCAGGTGGGAATTTTGTTAATCAGTCGACGGCTTGATTACCTCCCCAAGATCGACGGCTAGACGATTAGGAAATAAAGAAGAAAAGAACACAAATTTATAGAGGTTCCACACTTCCACCCAAGCCCAAGATGGTGTACGTCCTATCTCTTCTGTCGTGGTGATGGCTTTATATTAATCAAATCACGAATTAGGGTTACAATGTAATGTAATTATAAGTATATATAATGTGATGGCTGGGCCCAATTAATTACTTAATAATTGGCCCAATAAGGGTTGCATTTATTCCTCCAGATGCCTAGACAAGTTCCACATCTATAACTCCCAAATTACCAACATACCCCTAACAATCTCCCACTTGGAATCTGTCTACCATCACCACAACAACTCCATTTTATCAATGTTCAAGGAGTCCAGCTAGAGCTTCCCAATACTCAGCACCTTGGTGAGCAAATCAACAACATTCTCATCCTTTGCTATCTTCCTCAAATTAAGATCCCCTGATAAAGGGATATGTATGCCTGATATGCTTGGACCTTGGATCAGTTGAATGGAACTTAGGATTCTTTGCCAAGTAAATAGAACTCTGACTGTCAGAAAACATAACTGATTTTTTCTGACCAAAACCTAATTCAGTAAGCAACCCTTCATGCTAAATCCTCTCTTTGGTTATCTCTGTCACAGCTACATACTCAGTTTCAGTGGTTGAAAGCATAGTTTTAAAAAACATAAAGCGCTCCCAATTTCCAATTAGCGCTTTTTTAGGCAATAATGGCATTTTCGTAAATATATGCAGTTCTAAATATATTCCTGTATTTTTTTTTTCAAATCCTATAAATATTTTTTTTTCAAATATATACCCCTGTTATAAATATTTATAGGTGTAATATAACATTTATTACAGTAAACATGTAATATTTATAGGTGTAATATAACTTATTACACCGTTTAACAAACCAACCAGGTGATGAATATTTATAGGTGTAATATTTACAGGTGTAACAAACCAACCAGGTGTCTAATTTGGGAAGACACTTGGCCAGACAGGTGCTGGACCATGAGAAACTTCCAGCAGCTATAAAAGAGGAAGAAATCTGTTTGAAGAGTTTGCTTCTACTGCAGCTTACAGATCTTTCTCCTCCTCCCTTCTCCAAGCTTCTACTGCCCGGTGATGGGTAGAAACCCACTAACCCGACCCAACCCGACCCACTCATCCGCTTAAAAAAGCGATTTGGAAAGCGCTCCTCCAGGAGCGCTTTTCCGCTTTAAGCTATTAAAGCGACGCTTTAAGCGTCGCTTTTTAATCTATGGTTGAAAGTGAGACTTGACTTTGTAACTTGGATCTCCATCTGATAGATGTCCCTCCAATGCAAAAAATGTATCCAAAAGTGTTCCTGCTGGTGTCCAAAACTCCAAATCCCCTCCAAGATCAAAGTCACAATAATCGACTAACTTTACAGCCTCCTTGGTGCATAGTTCCGGATGCCAAGCGTATCTTATCTCCCTTAGCATGCGATTTTTTTTTTATCTTCCTTCATCTTTTTCTCCATCTCATTTCAGAGTTCAGACATCTCATTTCAGAGATTAGGGTTGTGTTTTTTTAAATTAATTTGTCATTTTTTTAGGGTTTTCGAAATGGCTGAATTTAATGAAAACAATGAATTTAATGAAAACAATGAGGGTGAACCCCAACCTAAACCTATAGATGTAAATCATTTGTTCTATAAACGGCTAAAGAAGACACATGATCACCTATAGATCGTATTATGTAATTCAAGTTTGAACTAGTTTATGTGTTTTGAACTACTTTAACTACTTTGATATATTTTATGAAGTAGATATATTTTAGGCATAGTTCAAAAAGCTATCAAGCGGTCATCTTTTTCAGGTTCCGCTTTTTCAGCTTTGAGCGCTTTAGCGCGCTTAAAGCTGAAAAAGCGATAATGGCATTTTTGTAAATAAATGTAATTTTTTTTAAAATTGCATATATACCCCCCTGTTTATATATATATTTTTTAAACCTGTAAATATATGATAAAATCATAAAACATAAAATATATATAAACCTGTAATTATTCAAGACATCATCCAAATTATTTGAAAAACATTTACAAGTCATATAACCTAATCATCTAGACGAGCACCAATATCTATATTATCTCTAAAAATTTCTTCCATTTCATTCATGCAATGATGAAATTGGGATTCAGTTCCCATTCTCGGAGGAGAAAAACTAGGTCAGGCGGCGACTCCGGCGAGGTCAGGTACGGCTCCGGCGAGGTCTGCCGGCGGCTCTAGGGTTTTGGAAGAAATAGAAGTGAGAGTGATAAAGGAAATTAAGGTTTTATTAGAAGGGTATTGGGTTTATATAGTTAGATAGAAATTGGAGGGGTAGGAAGGGAAATTAAAATAGTTTAAGTTATTTCACATGGGTAATGGGTTGACCCAACCCAGTAACCCGACCCGACCCCATAACCTGACCAGATAAAGCGATTGGGAAAGCGCTCCTGGAGGAGCGCTTTCCCGCTTAAAGCTAAAAAAGCGACGCTTTAAGCGTCGCTTTTTAAACTATGATTTTAGGTATATGAAAAACCTTTATTTTTATATATATTTACGAAAATGCCACTGGCGCAAAGGTGTGCTTTTGTGTGCAAAAGCACACAAAAGCTCAAGTGCTCCAGGTGGTGGCGCATCCTGAACCTTG